TGATCTCAACAATCCATGTGTAAAAAGTATACGACTGCGATATCAACACTGGAGAGGCAGAGACAGGTGGGTTCCTGGGGCTCACTGGCCAGCCAGACTAGCCTAATTAGGGAGCTCCATTTGGAGAAATATGGTGGTTCGTTCCTGAGGGCCGAAAGTTAAAGTTGTTCTCTGGCTGCCACATTTGTACATGCTTGCTCATGGGTTACACACACACACACACACACACACACACACACACACACACACACACACACACGAAAACTGCACACAAATTTGTTCTGTGCATTTTATGGGCACATAGGGCTTATCTGTTTGGGAAACCACATTTTGTTTCTTTGTTGAGAGAGTCCCACGAGGCCCAGGCTAGCCTCAAACTCATTATGTAGTCAAGATTGACCTTACACTCCTCATCCTCCTTCTTCTACCTCCCAAGTGCTGAGATACCAGGCTTGTGCCTCCACACCTGGTTTCGGGGAGGTGTATTTTGTGTCTTAGGTATGAGAAGAAGGATCTGGATGGCCTGTGAAAATGAGTGTGCTGGGAGGTGAGGTGCTGAGCTAGCAAGGATGAACAGAGGAGCAAATCCAGGGTGTGCATGGAGATGGACTTCCTGAATAGCAGGGACTCATTTTCTGTGTTCTAAGGCCTTTAAGGGTAGGTACTTTGGGGAGGCAGAGGTAGGGTGCACACCGGATGGGCAGAGGGAAGGGGGCCATTCTGAGTGCCCAGGGAGGAAGCTTATGTGGACCTGCCCGGCTGAGTCACAACCAGCTTCTAGACTAAGCTGGGGCACCTGGAAGACTGACAGCAGGAACTGTGTATTTGCCAGAGTGCAGAAACAGATTTTGTGGTGGGGACACAGAGGTACTGTTTGGGTTGGAGGGCAGTGAGACAGGGTCTCATGGAACCTAGGCCAGCCTTGAGCCCCTGAATGCTAGGATTGCAGGCGTGTACATCAGACCTGCTGAAGAGGGATTCTTTTGAACAGAAATGAAGGAAATAGGGTTGGAGAAATAAAGGGGAAGGAGAAGAGGCCCCACCACCTGGGGATTATAGCAGCCTCACCGTGAGTGCCAGGCAGTGCCGAGCACATGCAGCCTTGTGCAGCGCTGTCATGCCATCCCGGGCCCTGAAGTCGATGTGAGCCCCACCCAGGCACAGCGTTCGAATCACCTCTACTGAGCCTTCAGTCTGGGCCGCCAGGGTCAAAGGTGTCTCTGAAGGACAAGAGAAGACCTTCAGAGGCAGGACTTTTGGCCCTTGCCTCTTAGACTCCACCCTGGTCTCCTAGCTCAGCCCCCTACAACCTTTGGTCACTCAGCCTCACCCTCTGGGGTTGAGGAGGTGCCCTGCCCTCTCTACCCAATCCTGCTCCTCACCCCAGTCCTTCCCAGCCCATGCCTCTTCCTACCTCCTGAATCTGAGTCATGGTAATTGGGGTCCAGCCCCTTGTCCAGCAGCCTTGCCACCTTGTCGGACGTCCCGAGCTGCACATATTCCAGGAACTTCTTCAACCCCGTCTGGATCACATACAAAGAAAGGCAGGGGAATCAGAGAGATCAGGGGGTCAAGCAAAGAGAGCAGCAATCAGAGACAGCACCACCCAGTGGGTACACAGCCAGCCCCTTCCCAAGGCAAAAAGGAAGTCTGGTGTGGTGGGTCACGCCAGGCATCTCAGCACTTGGGGGCAGAGACAGGAGGGTGATGAGTTCTAGGCCTGCCCAAGCTGTACAGTGAGACCCTGTCTTAAAAGGAATATTCTGAAATAGAAGGGTGTGGGAGTCTGAACGAAGATGGCCTCTACAGGCTCATAAGGAGTGGTATTATTGAAGTAGGTGTGGTCTTATTGGAAGAAGTGTGTCATTGGGGGCAGGCTTTGAGGTTTCAGAACTCTCTCTTCCTTCTGCCTGCTAATTGGGATATAGAACTCTCTGCTACCTCTCCAGCACCAGGTCTGCCTGTGTGCTGCCATGTTTCCACACATGACAATAATGGACTGAAACCTCTGAAACTGTAAACTAGCCCCAGTTAAATGTTTCCCTTTATGAGAGTAGCCATAAGGGTCATGGTGTCTCTTCACAGCAATAAAAACCCCAAGACAAAGGGGAACTGTGAACTGTGTTGAAAAGCATCCTGATGACACATGTTCTTAAAGGAATATATCCCTAATGTTACTGTTTTGATACACAAAGATCCACAAGAAAATAATTAAAATATCATGGTTTGGGGGTGATGAGATAGCTCAGCCATAAAGGTGTTTGCAGCCAAGCCTGCCAACCTGAATTTGATCCCCAGAACATACATGAGGGATGAAAAATGAGCTCTAGAAATTACCCTCTGACCTCCACATGTGAGCCGTAACAGGAACATGCCATCTCCACCCCACCACCAGACACACACAATAATAAATAAATAAATAAATAAATAAATAAATAAATAAATAAATAAATAAATAAATAAGTGTAAATTTAAAAAAAATATCATGGGGGCTAGAGAGAAGCCTTAGCTTTTCAGAGAGCTTGCTACTCTTACAGAGGACCTGAGTTCAGTTCCCAGCACCAACCAATGGCAGGTAACTCTAGCTCCAGGGGGATCTGGTGTTTCTAGCTTCCTTGGGCACCTGCATTTACATGCACATACCCACACACAGACACATGCACATACATAATTAAAAATAAAATATCTTTTAAAAAAATGGATTTTTGTACTGTTTCTGCAGTGTGACTCAATTCACACCTGTCACATGTACAAAGGAGTTGAACATGGTCACTGCTTCCCAAAGTGAATGGCACAGGGAGGGAGGGAGAAAAGAAGCGAGTGGATGGTGTGGGACAGAGAAGCTTTGGGGGGAAAGGGGGAGACTTTCTTTCCATTAAACGTCAAGAATTGTCCCCCTCTGGCCACATCAGCCTCCCAACTTCCCCCTAGCTCCTCGGGGACTAGGGCAGACACAGGGGGACATCACCCAAGGCCTGGAGGGAAAGGACCCAGCAGAATAAATGTGGCTGAAGAGGAAAGGCAGTCTGGGGTTGATGGAAATACAGGCTACAGGACTGGGGAATTGTGGGTGTCTGTGAAATACTCCCTAGGCAGGAAATTGACTGAGGCAGGGTAAGGAAAGGGCCCTAAGTGCTCTGAGCAGAGAAGGCAGAGTTAAAAGAATGGGTTGGAGGGCTAGAAGTGAAGTCTTGTCATGCAAAGACCCTAGTTTGATTCCCTAGAACCTACATGAGAGAGCCAGGGGTGATGGTGTGCACTTGTGATCCCAGTGCTGGGGAGGTGGAGTCAGCCACATCCCTGGGGTTTCCTGGTCAGCTAGTCTCCCAACATGGTGAGCCTCAGACCAGTAACAGACTAATAAAGTGGGGCCAGTGAGATGGCTCACCAGGTAAAGGTGCTTGCCACCAAGCCTGACCCTATGAGTTCCATCCCCAAGATCCATGTTGTGGAAAGAAAAAACTGACTCCCCCCAAACTGTCCTCTGGCCTCCACATGTGCTCCCATCCACTCATACCACCGCCACCACCATCACCACCACCACCATCACCACCACCCCTGCAAATGCACACACCAGGCACAGATGGCATCGGTTTGGGCAAGTGAGGTCAATAGAGGGAAGTGCGAAGGGGTCATGATGGAGATAGATGGGTGTCTCCAAACAGGATTCAAAGTTAAATGGAGGACTTGGCATAACTGGCAGAGAGGAGAGCTGCTGGGGAAAGACTGGAAAAGAAGGTGATGGACAGGGTGCTCTGGGTGCAGGGGGGGGCACACCCAGGGGAGGCCTATGCCAGGGCACTCTTACCTTCGTGTGCAGTTTGGCCAGCTGTTTCTCATCCAGGTTGGTCTGTTTGTAGACTCGGGTCTTGTAGCGGAACTGAGACCGGGGTGGGGTTTGAAGAGACACAGATTTGTAATCAGACTCTTTGTTGGAGAATGTCTGACACTTCTCCCTTCCTCCCATGAGTTCAGGGTTAGCATGGAAATGGCCCTAGGTAGAGTCACCTTTCCAAGCGCACCAGGTCATCAAGGTCTGTTGCACTATAACCCCTGCCTTGTAAGTGTAACACACACACACACACACACACACACACACACACACACACACACACACAGAATGTTCGAGAGTAACTACTGTAGTTGGGATTCCCTCACCAGCTGATGGCATAGGGAGCTTAGGGAGGGGAAAGAGCCAACTCAGCTGGCGATTTGGACTCAGGATCTCTCTCCTGTGAGTTCTCGGGAAGTCTTGAAGTGCCCACTGGGGTTCTCTTGGAGTCAGAGTGGGTGTGTTCCAAGGTATGACTTCTGTTAAGAGTTCTGTAGCCTCACCTCCAGGTAGGGTACCCCCTTTTCAAAGGACTGGGGGTATTCTCTCAGCAGCCTCTCTTCTTCCAGGAAGTTGGCATCCCGGCCTGAGGTGGCCGGCTGGAACAGTCCGTAGTTAAGCACATCCTGTAGGCTCTCACTCAGGGCACAGAGTACTTGCTGTTTGGCTGTCCAGATGGTGGCATCAGGGTTGAAGCGCAGGCATTTCTGGTGGGAGACAGGATGGCCAGGACTAGGTTGGGTCGAGGGTCTGAGGGCCAAGGGTAGGCTGAAAAGGAGTAGCGTCCAGCTGGAGCTGGGATTGGGGGTGGGGAAACAGACTCGGTCAATGTGTCTGTCAGCTGACTGGTGAGTAGCCACTCACCGTCTGGTGCAAGTCAGGGATGCCAATCCTGAAAACCATCATGCTGAAGTGGGCGTCGTCGGGGACAGACATGGAGCGTCCCTGAAGGCCTCGGGTAGAGGCCAGGTTACCAGGTGTTCCGCTGCCCGGGCCCCGAGTCCCCTGGGGGCCTCTCCCTGGCCCGTCTGGGGAGCTGTCGGATTCTGAGCCCCCCTCGGGACACTCGCTGGCACTGTGGCGTTCCTCGTCCTCGCTTGTCGCGGGGCTGTGGGTCATCGTGGGGCCACGGGGCGACGGGGGACAGCAGCATCACAGGCAGCTGGGCAAGGCAAGGGTGTCCCTCAGTGTAGAGGCATTCAGAGCCTACCAGTACCACCCAGTGACAGACATAGTGGCAGCCTGTTCCCTCTGCCTCCCTGGGAGGCAAGGGAGATTAGGCATGCCCTCAGACCTCTGCACAGACAAACTGACACCACCTCAGCAGCCTTCCTGGCACCCTTCTCCTCCCTGTCCTTGGCCCTGCATGCAGCCCCCACCCCCCCTGCGCTCCACTTTGTGGCTGACCCAGTATGTCCCAGAAATCACAGAATCACCGCGGGAGCTACTGGCCCACTTTGTCAAGCCACAGAAAATGAAGCTAAAATTAGCTAAGGACAGACAGGTGGACCAATCCACTCCGGCATCCTGCCCTCCTGGCCAGAGCCTGGCCTCTTCACCCCAGGGAGGCTGAGACTGGCTTTTATAGTAAGGGAGAGATGGAGGTGTGAGTTTTGAGCCTGGGGCAGCAGGAGGTGCCCGAGAGCTGGTGACTTCACTGAAGTGTGGCTGACCACATGTTTGGAGGGCTGCTGCTGAGGAATGAGCTGTCCCTGGAGGGGATCGAGGGATACAAATGTGGGTGGATGTACAGAAAAGAGAAGTTCCCCTGAGCTGTGCCCAGGGGACCTATGAGAGGTTACTGGGGCATGTGAAGAGGATGTGTGGGTGGATAGGGAGGCTGGCCCTGGCTGGACGGTCCAGGTGACAAGCTGCGGTGGCCTGGGTGGGTGTGGGCAGCTGCAGGTGACCTGTGGGTGTGTTTCAGGACTGGCACAGCAGGGTGGGTGGGTTGGCACTGTTTGGTACTCGTGGCTCCACCGAAGAGAACTTGGATTGGGTGGGGTGGCTGGGGAGGAGGCTAAGAAGTGGGCTGCAGCAATATGGGGGACCAGGAGGTGGGAGGGTCGTCCCTCTCAAAGTGGTCTACTGAGGGGTGGCTCCTTTCCAAATGCGGTCCTCTTCTCTCCTGTTCACTACCCCCCACTCCCCACTCTAGAACCGGAAAGCAGAATGTCTGGTCTGGTCCCTCCCACCCCACACCAGGCCCGGCTCCTGCACCGTTGCCATGGAGATGGGAAGCAGTGGAGGGTACTGCTGACTTTGGGGGAGTGGGGATGGGCTGGGGGGGAGGAGGGTTGGGGAAGGAAAGACGAAATGTTTAAGGAAGAGAGTTCCAAGAACTGTAGGCGAGCAGGCGTCTAACCGCGGGCTGAGGACCCCTCCCCCTCGTGGGGACCAAGCTCCGAAGCCCCTCCGGGCCCCTCGCCCAGGTACCTGGCCTTGTTGCCCAACCCGCCGGGCTTGGGAGGAGACTCCGGGTCTCTAGCTCAGTCCAATGACCGCCCTACACCACATCCCGCCTGGCAGTGTGACCTCAGCCACTCCCCCTAGGCTGACCCTGGCTGACATCCCCTCTGTAGCCCCAGCTCTACAGGAACGAGGTGGCAGGTGGGATGAAAGGTCAGCATGGGCCGGGCACCCACAGCGCGGGCACTACTGCCCCAACACCCAGGACAGCTCGGGCCCCTCCCCCTCCGGCCTCGAGGGAGGGAGCGGGCACACTCCGCCGGGGCGGCATGAATCAAAAGCTCGGCGGCTAAGAATAGCTGGCACGCAGCTGGTACCGAGACGGGCTGAGGAATCGGCAAAGGGGGGGTTGGCGATGGGGAGAGAGGGGGTGCCCTGCGAGGCTGTGGGGGGACAGGGGACTGCTGGCGTGGCCAAGAGCCGGGCCCTGGGAGAATGAATGGAGGTGGAGGAAGGCGGGAGTTGGGGCTGAGGCAGGAAGACTGGTGAGGGGACAGACAGCCCCAGGTCAGAGAAGGAGCTGGGACTGGGGGCGGGAGCAGAAGGGGCGCGCCGGCCCGCGGAGAAGGGACCGGAGGTGCGATGGGCAAACGAGGCGCGAGTGGGAAGGAACTGGAGATGCCTGGAAGGGGCGGCGGGTCTAGGCGGCGTAGGACGCTCTGGCCCAGACCCTGGGCTTGGAGGGGTTCGGGACCAGGGTGACCTAGGGGAGGGGCCCAGGTGCGCCAGAGTGGGCGAGACGGGGGAGTGGCCGGCAGGGTTGGGAGGCGGGGACCGGGACCCAGCGGTGGCCCTGAAGAGCCTAAGAGACCAGTACAGCTTAGGGGGCGCAGCACGTGGGGGATGGGTCACACCCTCCCAGCAAGGATGCGATCTGGGACGGGGCACCCGGGACTGGGTCGCAACCCAATTTGATGTCACCCGTAGGGGCCACGCTCCCTTCCACACCCGCACCCCCCTACACACACACCCTAAATGCACACCCAGGCTGGAGCCGGCGCCAGGCCAAGGACATCCGGGGCGCCCCCGCCCTCTCCCGCAACCCCAGCTCTCGCAGCTGCACCCTACCCCAGAACCCACCTGGGGTGCCCGGTGCCCTTACCTGCCTGGCGGGGCTGCTGAGTCCCGGTCGGCGGCGCCCGCGGCCCCTCCCCCCTCCCCCCACCCCCCACCCCCCCGTTCACGGGGGACCCTCAGGCCATGCCCCACCGCCCCGGAGGGCGAGCGGGCCGGGGAGGGGGCGGGCGAGGGCTGGGGGGAGGGCGGGGGGGCTGCGGACCTCACCCCCCCCGCGGGCCGGGCCCGGCCATCCGCAGCGCGCCCCCCTTTCTGCCGCGCCCGCGCGCCCCTCCTCGCCCGCCCCGGGGCTGGGGTCCGGCCGGGCTACGGGCGCCGCGGCTCCCGCCGGCTCTGCCTCCTCCTCCTCCTCTGCCTGGGGCCGCCGCGCCGCCGCCTGCTCCCCGCTCGGCGCCTCCACTGCCACCCGGCTCGCTCTCTCGCACTAGCTGTCTCTCCCTCACCCGGTCTCTCTCTCTCTCTCTCTCTCTCTCTCTCTCTTGCTCTCCTCTCTCCCTCCCTCCCCTCCCTCCGCCCTCTCCCCTCCCTCCAGGAGCCCGCAGAGAGACATCGCCCCTCCCCGCGCCCCCAAACCTCGCCCATCCTCCCCCAAACGCAGCTCCGCCCCTCTCCCCTCGCCCTCCTCCACCCTTCATCTCCACGGCCCCATCCCCAAACCCAGATTCCACCCCTGCTTACCCCCATGTATCCCAAATGGGGTCCTGCTCCTCCCAGAGGAGCCCCTCTCCCAGAGTGCTCCCCACTCTTTCTACACATGGTGGGGTGCTGTTTGTATTTGTAGAGAGTCTGTATATTCCCAAATTGAATGCTGAGGGTTATAGATCACACACACACACACACACACACACACACACACACACACACACACCCCTTTCCACATGAGCCCCCACATATGGAAGTACCTGAGATAGGCATATGTCCCTTCCCCCACCTGGTCCTGGAAAGGAAGCATACCCACAGCTGCCTACTCCTTAGGGCATGCCTGCCCAGTACACATGACCAGAGATACACACCCGGCTTCATGGACAATGTCACACCCCAGTGTCACAGCATACCGACAGCACCCTGCAAGATTTACCCACACCATACTCCAATTGCCTGCTCAGATCTGTCCACAGAAGCACACAGTAGACAGACATGCATGCTGTCTGAGGGAGCTCACCCACCCGCTGTCCATCACAGGTGTGTACTCCTGTTTGACTGCACACCCTAATCATAGCGCCCCCTGCACGACTATCCCTGAGTACAGGTGCCAGGTTTAGGGACTTCTTTCCTGTTCAAGCACAGAGAGGCTAAGTAACTTGCTCCAGGTCACCCAGCTATAAAGAGGTGGTGTCAAGGATGATGAACATAGAAGCTGTCTCCGTAGTCTCCACTAGCCTGGTGGTATTCCAAAGAACATGCCTGAGGTTGTGTGTCTTCATTCATCATATATCACCCCTGATTTCACACACACACACACACACGAGCACACAAAGCTAAGAATGTGCAGGTAGTTAGCGCTCTCCTGCCTGGTACATTCACAGTGGCAAGGCAGATTCATTCATCATCCTTCATCTTCAGTCCTGATTTCCACTTTGCCCCAGCTTCAGCAGCATCCCCAGAGCCACTAGGGAACACCAGCACCGACAAAGGGCAGTTCTAGGTAGCTTCTGGGTTCATCTGCAGCTGCAGGCTCTCGGGAACATCCTGGGATAAGCTGGAGTCGGTACCATCTCAGAGAGGCCCTCATCTTGATGCACCCACCCAGGTGCTGAGCAGCTGAGCCCGTGGAGAACAGCTGTCGGTGCTGGCACAGGCACTGAGCGGCTATGAAGAACTCCATAGTTTACAAGGCTGTTATGCATTATATGGAGGTCTCCAGCCTCTGATGAGGGACCTCTGTGTGACGACGACCAGCATCTGAGAGGCTCTGAGGGAGCCAGTAGGCTGCCCAAGGTCACTCTGCCCTCCATGTACCAGGCTTTCTTGAAAACTGGTGTGTTCCTTTCCAAGGCCCCTCATGGGGCTCTCAGCAGCCGAGAGCAGATGTGAGGCACCTGCTTGGAGCCAGCAGCCTTGGCTAGATGCCACCACACCCATGACCTCCACAGGGCTGCCATGTCCCCTCTCTGAGCCCTCTTTGCTTTCTCCCTGCAGAGCTTGGGCCCCCAGATCTCTGGCTCATGAATTGGCAAGACTTGCTGGACTGTAGCTGGAAAAGCCCTGCAGGAGTCATGGTCCTGGCATGGAGTGGGCATGGCACAGCCTTCCACTCCCTGGCATTGGATCCTCCCACAGCCTTCAGACACCTTGAGAACTCAGGTGCCACCTAAACACTAAAGTCTGTCTTGGAGGCCTTGGACCAAGCTGCTGTTACTCTGCCAGGAACGGTGGTCTTCTTACTCAGCGGCTTAACTTAGCACTTACTAGGCACTAGGAAGCCCTGCTTTGACTCGGGGATACAGAACTAACCAACAGTCCAATCCTTGGTCTGCAAGAGACAGATGTAAATAAACAAAGCCATACTGGTTGGACCATACCTCGAAGAAAAGGGGGCGTTTCGTAGGGTGGTCAGGGCTGAAACTCCAGTGATGAGAAGGAGCTGAGGGAAGAGTCTCCAGGAGGAAAGGGACAGGAGGACAGGGCCGAGGTAGAGGGTGAGGGGAAATGGGGTAAGACTTGCAGAAAACAGCTCTCTCCAGGCCTTCGCCCTGCAGGCTGCACTGAGGACTGAGGCCCAGGTTTGGCTTCTCTCCTGCTTCTGATGGGAAAGTGAGGAAGCAGGGGCGCGGGGAGTAATGTGATCTGATTTATAGTTTGGAAGGATTGCTCTGGCTGCAGCAGGCAAGCAGCCCAGATTGGAGGGGCTTGGAGGAAGGAGGGGGAGAGCAGGGGGAGGTGACTGCAGTGGTCTAGGCTGGGGTGAGGCAGCTTGCAGAATGTTCTCTGCTCAGAGTCCCTTGCTTGGTTAGCTCACTTCCTGGAGATAGCTGCTCTGACTGTCTACCCCTTCCTTTCCTTGGTGGGGGAACCACTGGGCCCACCACCACCACCTCCCACCCCAGCATTAACCTGCTCAGGGCCTGACCTGCAGGAGAATCTTGGAGTTACACCTTTCAAGCTGTACACATGATGCTGTTCACACATGTCCCCACAAGCAGGCATACACAAGGGCTGGGAGGGCCAGGATAGACCATCTGGGTGAGGATTGGGAGAGCCTGGAGCCTGAGAATGGTAGAAGAGTCCCCTTCATTAGGCTGTGTCGTCAGTGGTGACCACAGGATAATAACAACCTTAGTATACCCTGCAGTCTGCTCCCTCCTTAGGAATGGCCAGGAGGGGGAGAAGGGAAGAGAGGCAAAAGCCAGCATCCTGTCATGGCCTGCTTTGTTCTGAGAAGGCTCATGGACCAAGGCTGAGGCCTACCAGTATTAAGGCTACCCTACAGAACTTTCTCCATCTAAGTGCTTGTACTTACAAAAGGGAGGAAAAGTGGCGGGGGGGTGGGGGCAGAAGCAGAAATCTGGAAAGCAGCAAGGGGTGGGTGTGGAGAAACCCAAGGCGGGATTAGGCCTTGGAACGTTGGAGGTTTCTGGCCACAGAGGCAGAGCCTCCTGGAAGCCAAGAGGGGCGGGGAGACACACCAAGAGAAGCTGAAGAGACCAAAAGTTGAGACAGACCAGATCAGGAGGGGAGGCAGAAGAGAAAGCCCAGCAGAAGGAGGACTGAGAGGCACTTGCCAGCCGAGACCCCAGTCCTATCCCACTCATCCTGACCTTTATTAGTTTGAGTGCTGGGAAGCCCAGCTGGATGCAGGCAGCCTGGCTCTTGGGGGCCCTAGTGGTCCCTCAGGTTTTGGGTTTGGGCCATGGAGCCCGGGGTCCTGGGAGGGAGTGGGAGGGAGGTTGGGGAGGGGCCTTGGAGGAGGAGCGAAAGTCACTGATGTTGAAGGTGAGTGTCGGAGGGGCACTGTGGGCTTGGGATGAAGGGTTGTAGAGATGGGCAAAGAAAAATAATGGGGCTTAGGTGGGGCAATGGGTTCAGAGAAAGAGCTGAGAGGGTAGGTGGGAAGGAGACTAACACGTGTTCTCTGCCCCAGAATCTACAGGAGGCCCTGGGGCGACCCACTGGGCTGGGAAATAAGGATAGTGTTGCTGGAAATCCTGAAGGCAAAGGGGTCTGGGGGACCAAGGAGACTCAAGGAGAAGAAGAGGAAGAGGAAATCACCACAGCACCTACTTCCAGTTCCAATCCTTTTCCCAGCCCTTCTCCTACACCAGAGGACACCATCACTTACATCTGTGAGTATCCAGAAGCCAGCATGGCCTGTGTGGCAATCACTGACCCACCTGGAGGGCAGACACATCAGGGGAGCCCCACGTCCCCAGACATGCCTGTCAAGAGCCCAAACCACTGAACCTCATCTACATAGTCCAGATTACCTCTTCCATCCCATCTTTGGGAGTCCGAGGGCCATGCCCTCCCTTTTCCTTAGGGCCCCTGATTGTGCCTCCAGTTGCGTATTCTGTCCCTTCACAGTGGGCCGCTTGGCTGGCCTGGATGCAGGCCTACACCAATTGCACATTCGTCTGCACGCTTTGGACACCCGTGTGGTCCAGCTGACCCAGGGACTGCGGCAGCTGCGGGATGCTACAAGTGACACCCGCGACTCCGTGCAAGCCCTGAAGGAGGCACAGGTCCGTGCTGAGCAGGAGCACGGCCGCTTGGAGGGTGAGTTTCAGCAGCACCAAGAGGGCTTAGGTGGGAGGAGGCGACCCAGGGAAGTCTGAAGACCTGGGGACCAAGGGTGTCAGGTCCACATAGAACTGGGATGTGTCGGCACATCTGTAGCTGGATTGTGAGGTGGGTGAGACAGTCCTCGCTTCAACCTGTGCCACACCCTGGAAGCCCCACCCACTGTCTGGTACCGCCCACACCCTGGCCACGCCCCCTAAGGCCCTGGCTCCACCTCATTAGACACTGCTGCTCTAAGGCTTCCCTCCGGCCCCACCGTTTTTATACCCACAAATGTGTTGGCCCTGCCCCTGACAGCCTGGCTAGGCCTTATTGGTCACTGAAGCTCTAATCCCGCCCATTACCCACGCCCTCCCTGTCCTCAATGCTCTGGCTCCCACTAATAAGTTTCGACCACAGAAGGACTGTCTTCTTTTAGCCTCGCCCCCAACAGCCGGGTCTTGGCCTCACTGGTCACAGCCGTTCTAACTCTGACTCCGCCCTCTTCCAGCCCCTAAGGCTCTGACCCCGCCCCCTGCAGCCCTGGCTCTGCTTCATTGGTCTCGCCCGCCCCGAGCTTTGGCCACGCCCCCAGTAGGCCTGTCTCTACCTCATTGGCCATCGCAAGTCCTAACCCTCCTTTATCTGGCTCCGCCCTCTACCCTCATGCACCGCTCAACGGCTCTGGCTTACCTACGGACCCCGCCCTCTCCCGCCTCTTGAAACCTTGGTTCCGCCTCATCGATCACCCGAAGCCCTAAGCTCTGGCCCCGCCCCCTCTTGCTCAGTGTTCTGACTCCGCCTCACCACGCACGCAGGCTGCCTGAAGGGCCTGCGCCTGGGCCACAAGTGCTTCCTGCTATCGCGGGACTTCGAGACACAGGCGGCAGCGCAGGCGCGGTGCAAGGCGCGGGGCGGGAGTCTAGCGCAGCCGGCAGACCGCCAGCAGATGGATGCCATAGGCAGGTACTTGCGCTCTGCCCTCGCCCCCTACAACTGGCCAGTGTGGCTGGGCGTCAACGACCGGCGCTCGGAAGGGCTCTACCTTTTCGAGAACGGTCAGCGCGTGTCCTTCTTCGCCTGGCACCGCGCACCCAGCCCGGAGCCCGGCGCCCAGCCTAGCCCGGCATCACATCCCCTCAGCCCGAATCAGCCCAATGGCGGCGTCCTGGAGAACTGCGTGGCGCAGGCCTCAGACGACGGTTCCTGGTGGGACCATGACTGTGAGCGGCGCCTCTACTTCATCTGCGAGTTCCCCTTTTAGAGAGCCGGTCCTTGCCCCAGAGCTCGAGCACACGTTCTGCTCGGTGCACCCTACTGTCTGGGGTCGCTCAGAGGTTGACAGGAACCATGAATAAATTTTAATAATTAGAGGCTTTTTATTTTAGATACTGGCACCCAGACTGATTGCGGCCAGGTCTGCACCTGAGAGAACTTCAAAGATGCAGCCCCTAGCCATATCAGCCCAGAGCTGATATGCTTGTGGGCAAAACCCCCCGCAAGATTACATGTAGTCTGCCTACGTGTAGGCAGGGGCTTATTTTAACGTGAATGTCCTGCAGTTGTCCTAGTCATCTTTTGAGGAGAGGAAGCAAGTTTGATTACAGAAGCAGAAATAGCAGTCTTACTATCTTGCTAGAACAGCAAACTTTACAAGATCAGTCACTTTAAGAAGAGTCTTTAACGTCGGGGGTGGGGGTGGACGGGACGGTCCGTACAGGACCCTGAGGCAGTTTTTGATTTTGTCTCTCAGGCATAGTAAGTCTAAACGTTTAAGTGTAATGTTCACCATCACACCTACAAACGTGCACTCTGCACACTGTACCCTACATCGTGCACCCTGAGCCTCACACTGTACGCCTTGCCTTGCACTTTGCACCCTGAATCCAGAACCCTCTTTGGATCCGAAGTGCCACCAGTCCCGGCCGATTGGGCTCCCCGGAGAGATACCCTATGCAACCTCTCCATGTCCCCAAGTGTCCTTGAAGCTTCAAGCTCCCAGCTAAGCTCAGTGCCAATAAACCCTGTAATATAATTTGAGGGCCTGTGGAGACACCTGGCCTTTATCTTGCCTGGGGAAAATCAGGAAGAACCAGACCCTGACTTTGGATACTTGCACCTGTCTTTTTAAAATACAGAATGTTGGAGAGCATTTGTGCATAGGAACACGTGGTTGTGCACAGATGTCTGGCATATTCATGCACCTATGTGGATGCCAACATTCCTAGCATGCTTCCTCATGGAACCTTTAGGACCTGCGCCCTGTCATTGTTTTACACGTTGGCTTTACTCCTGAGCAGAGAAACCAAGAAACATCAAGGTTTGCTCCAGGTACTGACATTTAATCTTGTTTTGCGTTGACCAGTGTCTCAGACCTGCTTTCCCGAGTGAGGGGCAGGGCACCATTTCATCACCCATACCAGAGAAGAGAGACAGAGACACCCACCACAACTTTATGTCTCACAACCTCCAGGACATGTGGTCAGACACAAAACTTTCCTCATGTGAACACTCAGGTTCCCTCAGTTATTTCCTGTCTGAGAAGCCAGGTCAGTCTTCCCATCCCTGAGCCCAGGTCTCATGCAGGTCCTCTAGCAAGCCCCACCTTCTCCTTCCATGTGGTGTTGGCCCACATTTCCCAGTATGCCTGAGGATCACGCCCTTGGCAGTGAAGTGAGAGAACAGCTGTCTCCAATGAAAACTGAGTTCTCTCCTCCCACTGGCCTTACCCGGTGCACCTAGGGAAGTGTCCTGTCCCTGGATCGTTACTGTGTAACGCCTTTCCAACAAGAGTTGAAACAACCCCCCCCCCCCCGGAAAAAAACTTGTGAATTTTCATTGGCAGATGGTAACAATTTTTTAAAAGTGAAATTGCTTCATGTAAAATACATACATATGTGTAGGAAATGGTTAGAAAAGTTGGGTGTTGACTGTTAATCCCAAAGATTTGAGGAGAAAGACCATCATCCTAAATCATTATAGCCAAATTAATTAAAGTAAGCATGTAATTAATTAAAGCAAGCTATTTTATCTGTGTACACCAGCTGCCTCCCCCTAAGGTGGGGTTCAAGAGGGAGGTCAGGCATTGACTGTGAGGAAGGACAAGGTTTTTATAGCTCAGGGGTAGGGAACTTTCAAATGTGGGATTTGATGGGCAAAATAGCTGGGGTTACAGGAGCAGAACATAGCATAACAAGTTAGTCATAACGACCTACTGAAACAAAGACAGGATTGAAAGGTGCAAGGTGATTGTAACAAGGTAGTTATAGCAGTCTTTTGAAACAAAAGACATGGCTGCCATTTCCTGAACAAGCAGTACAGAACCATTTGTAGTTAAGGTTACAGGTGGGGCATAGCCCAATCCTTGAGAAACAGAGGTTTAATCATAAACAGGACAAGCCCAGTTTGTCTTTACTATAAAATGGATTTTAAGTCTAAGATGGAGGCAGGTTTGTTCTTCACAACATTTACTGAATAGAATATTAAAAACACACATGAAGCCGGGTGGTGGCGCACGCCTTTGATCCCAGCACTCAGGAGGCAGAGCCAGGTGGATCTCTGTGAGTTCAAGGCCAGCCTGGTCTACAGAGGGAGATCCAGGACAGGCACCAAAACTACACAGAGAAACTCTGTCTCAAAAAACAAACAAACAAACAAAAACACACATGAAAATTCTCTGCAGCCAGAAGTAGAGGCTGACGCCTGCAATCCCAGCATTTAGGAAGACGAGGCAGAGGCTAAAGTTTTAGGCCAGCCTGGATTACAGAGTGAACCCGTCTGAACAGACAAACACCACAAAACCAAAAAACAAACAGACTCGAGGGCTAGGGAGATGGCTCAGTCAGTACAGTGCTTGCTCTGGAAGTGTGAGGACTGGAGCTTTTATCCCCAGCACCATGAAAAGGCCAGGCCCTTCAAGAGGCCCTGCTGTTTAGCTGAGCACTTGAGCAGGTGGTGTGCTACTCAGCACTAGATAAAAAAAATTCCCAGAGCTGGGTAAACATGGCTCCAGGCTGGGACCCACAGGCATGACCCTCAGCTCTCATAGACCCAAAGTGGGCAGAGCCAGCCACCAGCACCATGTGCTAAGCAGAGACACGGAGTGGGTAGCCCAGCTGGTTAAGGTTTGGCTCATGTGGTCAGAGAAACACTGCAGATGTGCAACAAACAAATAAACAACAGGTCTAGGCCGAGAAAACCTCTGGACAGGTACAGTATGCTTGAAAATGTGCTTAGGTGTTGACAAAAGAAGATAAAATGGGTATAGACAGTCATAAAAAATAAATGGTTTAAAAATAATAAAGTCTTTAAAGAGAGAGTAAAGTAGGGTAAGGAGATAAGCCACGCAAGGATGAAAATATAACACAATGTCTGGATCTTATATAGTGCTTTGTTAACTTTGAAGTATTTAAATACTAGTGAACAAAAAACAACAGCTGTAGAGAGACATTGGATTAAGGAATTAACTACTAAATCAAACTAGCCTATATATTTTAAGAATGTCTTAACTTCAGAATGGAAGTAAGGAAATGTGTTGCGTTGTGGGAGAGAGGTTATGCCTTTGTTTCCACAGGAAACAAAAAGCTATGGATTCCTTCAAAATTAATAAAGATCAGATTTGATAGGGGGAGACCTCCTGAAAATCATAGCTTCAGACATGAAGGAAGAAACCAAGAAAAAAATCACAAGACAGGTGATGTATATGCTGATCTTTTTACCATGGGAACAGCTCTGAGACTGGATGAGACATGATAAATCTTATTGGCTACAGAGTCCTCATGACTTATTATTACATGCCATCCTTTCATATGGCATGGATGGAGATTTATATTACAGTTTGGTTATGCAGTCCAAATGGACTTATAAAGTTGACAGATGCCTTTACCTGCTCAAACATAGAACAGAAAATCATTAGCTGATTTATGCACACTGCACATTCTATACTCCTGTTAGTGCAGATATGTATTTTACCTTTAAATGTTTGTGTGTTTTCAAGAACAAAAGAACCAGATACTAATAAAGACAAGTAGCCCAGGTGATCCAGCCTCTCAGAATACCTCTACTGAAGTTTCCTCAAAAAATTGCTCAAGACAACTTTAAAGCTGCCAGCTGAGATGGTCCAACCTCACAGACTACTCTAGCCAGGTCTTCAGATAAGCCCTGAACTTTCCCATCACACAGAGACTGGACAACAAATGTTACAGCTAACTCTCCCAGGACTTGACCATTATCTCAATTTTCTCAGGGTCCCCTAAAGATGCCATCACCCCCAGACAACAGAAAGTAATTTTAAGAATGCCCATATTCCCAAGAGGTGGGGTGGGTGGTTTTTGGTCACACAGTGGGTTATAGATATCTGTCGTTGTTCAGGTAGGTTAGTTGCAAGTTGTTACATGGTCGGGGAGGAAGCTAAGCAAAGGAAGTTAAATTAAGGGATCTCTTTCTGAAAAGAAAAAAGGGGGTCTTGGAATGATAGGATAAAAAGGTAGATTGTTTAATCTACTTTTAAACTAAAAAGCAACTACTAGTCTCAAACATTGCACATTGGTATGGATTTTTTGTATATTGAGACAAATTAAGGGTTATTTTTATACTGTTCATATGATTCTACTCTTCTTTAAGTATTTTTGTATATTGATACAAATTTAAGGATTTTTTTGTCATAACATCCTGTATATATATGTTTCTACTTTCATTTAAGGTATTGAACCTATAGAGCTCATTTAAAAATGTAAAGTTCTACTCCTTGAAAGCTATTATTACAAATTATTTAGGATAGTTAAGAAATGCAGGTTAGTAGTCACCTGTTACAATCAAACTTATAGTCATGTTAGGTATGTTTTAAAGGTAAAACAGATATATTTTAGAAAGATAAGTGGTCTTCAAACACCTCAGAGAGCTACAAAATATGGCATTGAAGATGTTTTACTAACATAAGGCTTTTCATGACAGTGAGACATGTCTGTTCCTGGCATCACCGATCTATTTCAGAGAAGATGATGGGTGTCAAAGAACCCCCATATGGAGTTTGCTTTCTATATGGCAAAGCAAGCCATTTTGGCTAGGAACTGCCCTTGCCTCAACTGCAGACAGTATGCTGTTCAAACTGGACAAGCAGGACACAAAGGAAGTGACTGCTGAACTTGGACAAGACAAAGTAGGACAGCCCTTCAGAAATTCATGCTTCACAGAAAAGTCTGTCAGATATTCTAGGCCTGTAGACTTGAGATGGATGCCCCAACATTGCAGAGGAATCTTGGGTAACTGTCCAGGCAGCCAGCTGTCTCTGTCATTTCTATAGTTTGAGAAGTTGTTTGCTTTGCACTTCCTGCTTACTTAGGTAATATTTTATCCTTTTTGGATCTCTGATGGG